TACATAGCACACAATGCTTTCTTATTTTCAGAGATATTAAAGATAAAACAAATACGCACTTGGGGGTGGGGAAAAGTGAGCAGATTATCACAAGGTCTTCAGCTCTAAAATTAATTTTATTAAATTAATTTTAATTAATCTTATTAAATTAATTTTATTCATGCTCTAAAATTAAGCCAGCTTACACTGACATCACTTTACAGTTTTCAAAGAGCACCTTTACAATGTCTAATTTAGTTATTGTTCCTCTCTTGATTATTCAATGTTCTCAGCTAGTATAAGGAAAGAACCCACAACTTCTTCACAGTCCTAGCACTTAACATGATGCCTGATAGACAATGGAACTAAGTATATTTCTGGAACCGAATCACTGAATGTTCCCAAGAGGGCAACAAGACTAGGTATCTTTTTGCATTTTGAGATGGAATCATAAAAACAATGAACTAATCTTACCAAGGTTTGTCAAAGACTCATACCTCTGCATGTGTAAGTAAAACGGGGAAAGTAGAAAGGGTAATAGCAGAAGAATGTAGTCACACTTACATAGCAAAGACTGTAAGATCTGACCAGAAGATTAGGGGCGGGAAAGTAAAGTAGATACTTGGAGAAGACATGGTTAGTTACCAACTTATCACTCATCACCCCCTGCTTTTGTACTTGAATTCCTTATTTTTCCCTAGACACATGACAGCCTATATGAAATAAATTTTCCAGTCTCCTTTTTGGATCTATATGTAGCCACATGACTAAGTTCTTGCCAATGAGATATGGGCAGAAGTGGTTTGACAAAACCTTCCAAAAAGTCCTTAAAAGATGGCTGGTATCTATTCCTTGCCCCTCCCCCATTTTTCCCTCCCTCAGTTCTGCTCCTTAAAACTTAGATCAAAAAGCAATAGATTCATTTGGACAAAGAGAAGAATAACAACCTACCAATGAGGAGGCTGGAAGCAATGGGAGTACTGGAGGCCCACAGAGTCATATACTAGTTCCAGACCACCTCTGGGTAATTATAGGAGAAAGAAATAAACTTCTCTCTTGTTTAAAAACAAATTATTTAAGTTTATCTTGTGTTACTATTATAGCACAATTACTAATAATCAGAGGATTTCTGGACAGAAAATAATTAAAATCTCTTTAGTAGTCCTCCAATATATAAAATTGATCAAGGTTATCAAGAAACTTTTTTAGAAGAGGTTATTCAAATGAGTGATGAATCATGAAGAGAAGTCTTCATTTGTAGATATGTCATTTAAGTCTTATTCATTAAGTCTGCTTATTTAATGTATAGGCAAGAGTCTAAGGCACTGGTATGAAAAACAATCCGTGAAATGCTATGTAAGAAGCAAGTAAAATGTTGCAACAAATACTTATTTTTAGAAAGTAAAAATGGGAAGTAATTTTTTATACCTTCAATTTTCACACTAGATCTACTTTTCCTTCCATAAAATTGTGTTCAAGAATAAAGATTCTACAAACATTAAAAAAGATATTGCCCCTTTCCCTTCTCAACATATTGCTCTCAAAAACAAAGACAGGTACCCCGTGTCGAGGCCAGGGCTGTACCTTATGACCAGATCCCTTTATTAAATCCAATTCTCTCTCCCATAAATCTAAAACTCTGAACTTAAAAAGAGTGACAGGAAACCTTAATTGAAATATTCAGATATATCTGAACTCTTGCTGCTAAAATCTTCACCCTTTCGCAAGCTGAGAATTCAAGTCCTCTCATTCCATGAGACAGCTGATATCTTTCAAATAGTTTCTTAAATGCTTAAATGAGACAAAGTAGGTTTCTGTCATTTGCAACCAAAAGAAAACTTAAAACAATGTTAAAACAGTTGTTTATTCATTAACACAAGTTGTTTAGGACTAATCATTTGCATCTCCTTTGTACTGTTTGAAGATCTTTTAAATCTTGTTACTGACACCATTCTAAGAATTTCAAAAGGTCATGACTCAGGGTTGCACAATGTCCTAAGACCCCACTAGTACCAGATACTTTTTAATGAAGTACTTAAAATTTTTATGACAGCATTTTAAACTCAGAGGTGACCTTAAAAGGCTTAAGTTGAACCTACTTATTTCAACCCACTTAATGTCATCTCCTCCCTCACTCCTCTTCCTTTCAGACTAAAGAGCTTGATCACTACTGGACACACTTCTTCAGTCTAAGACTAAAAACTGTTATTTATCTGAAATTCAAACTAGGCATATCATATTTTATCTGATACCTGTAGTTTTCATAGAGCTGAAAGAACTGTCCAACAGGATTTTATAAACTATCCATTCCTTTTACAACAAGAGTGAGTTAGGAGCAAAAGTTCAAATTAGCTACATAAGTATGATGCTTAGTAAAGCCCATAACAGGACCTCTAAATAGAGTTCCCTTCTTTTCTCTCCCCTTGTATGTTCATTCTAGAATACTAAAATATTACATTAACTTCTTGTCTGGTCTCATTGTCTCTAAAAACTCTATAAATTATCTTCAACTTTGATATCAGAATAAAATCCTCAATATATATCACCTTCAAAAAATTTTCAGTTAATAAGCAACGGTAAGATACCTAGTCAATCTCAAAAGACATTAAATTGACAATTAAAATATCCTTAAGTCCCCCAAAAGAATTTGGTAAATTCATTCAGAACAAAGCACTGTATAATGAGGACAAACTAGACACTAGGTATAAACTTAGTTCTTAGGATTATAAAGTGGGAAGGACAGCATTTCAAGCAGGGGTATCTAGAAAACTGTAGAAGCAGCAGCTTTTCCACTAGAATTTGAAGAATGTACAGGTATTTTAACTGGTGAAATAGGGAGTTAAAAAATTTCAAGTAGAAAGAGTTTCGTGAACAAGGGAAAAAGTTTTACAAGCCAGCCCCAAGTTTTCAACTGTATTTTTCAATTGCACCCCAACAGGGATACAAATCCTAAAATACACATTAAGTTTCCTATCTCCACAACTCTGTTCAAGCCATGCCCTCTTTCAACAAGAGTGACCAAATCTTGTACTGCATTGCAACCCTCATATTGTTTGTACAATATAGAATAACAAATACTAGCCAAACCAATGTCTTCCTTTCCCTAAGCTTCCTTTCCCATCATTCATTCCTCTCACTTTTCTTCAAATTCTCCTAACTGACCAAACTAAAGAATGCAATAATTCTATCCACTGATTAACAAAGAGGATAAACAGAACCTTCTCTGAAAATAAAAGTTTCAACTTAAATCCTTGAAACAAACCCCCCCCCATATCTCTCCTCCTTGTCCTATACCTCTATTTCCCATTCCCTTCTGTGTTTGTAATTCTGCATAGAAAAGGGTTCCCCCTCCCCTCTTCCAATAGCAATGAAGATATAGCAGGGCAGATCTTCCTTTTCACCTATTTTAAACTTGCCCTCACATAATAAGGATTGGATAGAACATAATAAGGATTTGTGTTCTTGCTGGGAAGGGGAGAAGGAGCAAAAGAGGAATAGAAGTGGAGTAAGAAAAGGAATGGGATATAAACTAGGAGTCCTGACTGTCTAGTGAGATAACAAGGGTCATAAGTAATTTAATAAGTCATCAAAATAAAAAAATATTTATTTTCAATACTAAATTTGCAATAGGTCCTTAAAGATGGCACATGTGCCTACAAATTAAATATTTTTCTTTTCTAGCTAAAATTGTAAACTATTTCTCAGATTAAATAAAACCTAATAATCAAGTCTTTAAACACTTAGAGCAAATCATTAATTGAAAAAGACACATTCACCATGAATGACCTTGATCACTGCAATTTTAAAGTTATACATATAACCTAAGAGAATCAGGAAAAATAAACAAAAAAAAATTTAATATACTGTTAACTAGAAGCCTGCACTCACAGTTTCAAGAATAGTAACTATATCTTTTGAAGACCATCTTATAAAGCAATACAGTAAGTGGTTACATTTTAGAAGTCACAAATTCCTACAGGATGAATTGGGAGTGAATGGTAGGTTTATCTTAGTGTTAAATAAACAGGTCCTTGCACAAATTTCCAGTGATAGCAATATCCCTGGGCTCAAAAAGTGCCATATCTCCAAGAAATTAGATGAAAATGAAAACCGTATGTCCTAGACAGGAAGATAACAAAAATACTAGTTTTGATAATCAAAGTCAATAAAAATACTCTCACATATCCTATCCTGTAAAATATGATTACAAAAATAATCTAAGTTTAAATTTAATCACATAAATGGATATACTTGGGGCCTCCCTGGTGGCACAAGGGGTTAAGCTTCAGCACTATGAAGTAGTCTGCAGCTACTGCAGCATAAGTTCAACCCCTGGCCAGGGAGGTGACCCACATGGCACAGCAGACCTCTCCTGACTCACCTGCTGCTCCCCTCAGCAGTGTGTTTCAGTCAACCTGCCTGTTCCATTCCCCACTTTGTCTCTGGTGAATCCTCTCACCCCCCACACCTCTGGCGGTACCCCAGATCTTATATGCATAAATAACATCTTTAACAAAAATAAATGGAGGGCCACCCCTGGCGGCGCAGCAGTTGAGTGCTGGTCTGCGAGGCTACCCGCAGCCTCTGCTGTGCCAGTTCGTTCCCCGGCCACCGGCAAGGGGCCCACAAAAATAAATAAATAAATAAATAAATAAATAAATAAATAAATAAATAAGTAGATATGCTCACGCACATGTAACTATTAATAAACAAAAACAAAGCTATTTCATCTACATAATTGGCTGTTTATATATTTAAACTGGCCAGTAAATTTTGGATGTGATCTCATTGGGATAAGGTAGGGCTACTTCGGATTTGAGACCATCTTACTTTCAGGCACACATAATATTTGATGCTAATTTTTAAAAAAAATTGTTCCTTGTGCTCTAGAATTTCCCAAGGTGGTACTGCTGATTTCTGACTTGTAGAACTCTTTTCCCTGCTTGAAGTGGTCCCACGTTTTTAAGCAATTTAGTATTTAGAACTCTACATTTTTGTTTCTGGGACAGTGAATAACTTACCTCTGCCTCTGCTGTCAATTTTATCTTCTTTGCTAGCAACTGTTTCATGTCAATGTGACCTAAGGAAAGGGAAAATGATGGATAGAGTTAAACTGATGGATAGTCTTCTACCAGTTAAACCATGTAGTAGAAGAACTAGGAAAAAAGGATGATTAAGTAAACTACAGTACAAACACAAAACATGACACAGCTATTAAAAATGAAGCATAAGGGCCTCCCCGGTGGTGCAGTCTCAGCACTACGAAGCAATCCGCAGCCACTGCAGCATGAGTTCGATCTGCCCAGGGAGCTGACCCACATGGCCCAGCAGACCTCTCCTGTCTGCCCACTGCTCCCCTCAGCAGTGTGTTTCAATCTGCCTGTTCTGCTCCCCACTCTGTCTCTGGTGAATCCTCTCACCACCCCCACCCCTGGCCTACATCCCAGTTCTTGCATGCACAAATAAATAAATCTTTTAAAAAACAGAAATAAAAATGAAGCATAAGCAATACAAATGAAGGAAATTTATACATAAAAAAAGCTAAGTAGAAAAACAAAACTACTGTAAATACAATATTACTATATGATGCTGTAGGATTAACAATATAGGAAATTAGATTCCCTGAATGGCTCCAACAACCAGGACTACTAATATGCACAAGTAACATTAGAAAAATCAGAGACTTCACCCAAAAATAATTTTTTTAACTTTTTTTTGTTGCAAAGGACACCATCAAGAAAGTAAAAAAGAGAACCCATGATATGAGAACAAACATTTGCAAATCTGATCTGAAATTTATATGGAAATCCAGAATATATAAAGGATTTTTACTGCTCAATAACAAAAGGACAAATATTCCAATTTAAACATAAGCAAAATTATCTGAATAAACTTTTCTCAAAAAAAGACGCAAACAGTCAATAGCCACATGAAAAGATGTCCAACATACTGGCCATCAGGAAAATTAAAATCAAAAGCAAAATTAAATATCACTTCACACCCACTTGTGTGGATATAATCAAAAGCACATGCCAAGTATTGCCCACTGAATACACTGAACTTACACGCTGTGATACGTACCTCAATAAAGCTAAAAAAAAAAGCAAGAATTGTACCTGCAATAAACTGAGAAAAGTGTCATTTCAGAAATTAGGTGTGACAACATTTCTGTTAGGCAATTAGATGAGTGTTTATAAACACTTATAACCGTGATGTTTATAAGACTAGTACCCACTTGGTGCGAATACAAGTCTTTTAAGTGTGGGAAAAAGAAAAAAGTAACGTCCTGATGAAGAAATTAAACCCTCCTTTTCCACTGCTCATGGAAATGAAAAATGATACAGTACTTTGAAAAACAGTCTGGAAGTTCTTCAAAAGGTTAAATATAGAACTGCTATACGATCTAGAAATCCACTCCTAGGTATATACACAAAAGAAATAAAAACATATCTACCCAAAACCTTGTACAAGAATGTTTTGTGGCAACATTATCATAATAACGCAGTCAGAACTCTGTAATTCATCAACCGGTAAACAGATTAATAAAATGTGGTCTACGTATACAAGAAAATATCATTCAGCAATAACAGGAGACAAACACAAATACATGCTACAATATAGGTAAAAATTGGCTCCAGGATCCCCACAAACACCAAAGTTCCTTACATAAAATGGTGTAATATTTGCATATAACTCACACATATCCTCCCATATACTTTAAATCACTTCTAAGTTACTTATAATACCTAATACAATGTAAGTATTACATACATAGATGTTTATACTGTATTGATTAGGAAATAATGACAACAGGGAAAGTCTGTATATCAGTATAGATGCAACTTTTGCAGGTCTAACTACATCATACCATTTTCTATTTGCAGTTGGCTAAACTTGCAAATGCAGTATTCCAACTTGTATTATCAGCTATCTGCTTTCTCCAATTTCAGATGCATTAAGAAAATGGACCCACCATAACTGATGCTGTCAAGTCTCTACCAGAATTGCAATAAAAAATGAAATCTTTGTGTTTATTGCTTAATGCATTTCTTTAACATTCTTCACAAGCATAGCACCAAATATTTTCCACCTTCTTCAAGTCCCAGTTCTACTAAGCAGCCTTCAGTTGTTTACTATGAGTATCAACTCTTTATTAATATATATTTTTAAAGATTTATTTTACTTATTTATGCATACAGGAACTGGGATGGAGGGCAGAGGTACAGGGGGTGAGAGGCTTCACCAGAGACAGACTGGGGAGCAAAATACATGGACCTACTGAAATACACTATTGAGGGTAGCAGCAGGCAAGACAGGAGAGGTCTGCTGTGCCATGTGGGTTAGCTCACTGGCTGGGGATTGAACTCATGCCACTGTGGCTGGCAATAGAGTAATAGCACAGCACCTTTAACCCCTGTGCCACCAGGGAGGCCCAGTATCAACTCTTTAAATGTCTTAATTTTCACTATCTTTACCCTCTTCTTCATTTTCCTGTGTCAGAGAAAGGGGTAGCTCAGCTTTTTTAAGACCAACCCTTCACTATTTCCTTGATCCTTCTCATGTCCTCTGATAAAACTCTTCAAAGTATTCTCAATACACTGAGTCATTAATATAATCATGTACCACATAACAGTGTTTCCATCAATGAGGGACCAGATATACAATGGTGACCCTATATGTAGCCTAAATGTATAGCAGGTTATATCATCTAGATTTGTAGAAGTACACTCTGAAGTTCACACAAGGATGAAATCTGCTAACAGCATTTCTCATAATGTATGCCTGCTGGTAAGTGACTATATTGCCCACATTTGCATCCAGAGTCAACCTATTCCTTAAGAATTGTTTCTGAGGGCCTCCCCGGTGGCGCAGCGGTTGAGCGCTGGGTTGCGAAGCTGCCCGCAGCCTCTGCAGCACCGGTTCGATCCCCGGCTGCTCCCCGGCCACCAGAGGAGGGTCCCACATGGCGCACAGACCTCTCCTGCCGCCCGCTGCTCCCCTCAGCAGTGTACTTCGTCCTTCTGCCTGTTCTGCTCCCCACTGTGGCTCTGGTGAATTCTCTCACCCTCCTGCGCTTCTGACTGTACCCAGTGCTTGTATAAATCAATAAATAAATCTTAAAAAAAAAAAAAAAAAAAGAATTGTTTCTGAAATTACAATGTGGATGTATCAGTGTTACTAAAAATTAAATCTGTGGTTCTACCAACAACTGTCAAATATTACATAATTATTTACTGTTTTAGAAACAAATATATAACTGAACATCAAGCCTATGACTTTGTAGAATTTGCTGCCTAAGATGAAGACTTTTTTAAAGTGAGATTTTTTTAAATTATATAACAATTATAGTACAGATAATTACAATTAACTCAAATTTCAGAAATACTTTAAAACAAACAGCCTTTTCCAGTGACCCTCAAACACCCTTCATGACCCAACCATGTTATTTTTTCCCTTTAAATATAAAATTCATTCCTAATTTATTCCCAAACCATTTCTGCGACTGTGGCCTCCAAATCTTTAAATCCTCAAGCTTGATAATCTTGCTGTAAATTTCAACATTTATTTATCATATATCATCTCAATTATTCTTTATAACAGCCCAGTGAATAAGGAAGATAAAAAAAACTTAAGACTCAAATTAAACATCTTGCCCACAGTCACCTGGTCAGGAAATAACTGAGCCAGAAATAAAATCCATTTTTTGATCCCTACTTATACAACATGCAGCATAAAAAATGAAAAATAAATAAATAAGAAAGTCTACTTATAAGTGACTAAATTTGTAAAGATGACTAAGAAGTACTAAGGAGTGACTAATACCATTTTTTCAAGTTTCAGTTCTTTTAACAAACATTTTCTTTGTCTCCCTGTGGCAAGTACAAAATTAGCTAATGCGTAGGCAATACAAAAACAGGTTTTTACTGCTTAGAAGTTCAAACTCACTTTAAAACCTTGATTATTTTCCTAAAAACTTACATTGACCATGTTTTACATTCCAGCTTTGCCTTGCTCTCCACAAAGTGTTATCAGTAACCTAAAAGAACCACTTAAAGGTCTACTTTAAGCTATGGAAACAACCCAAATGCCCAAAAATAGATGACTGAATCAAGAAGATGTGGTACATATGCACAATGGAATATTACTCAGCAATCAAAAAAGATAAACACATGCAGTTTGCAGCAACATGGATGGAGCTAGTGAAATAAGCATGGATCATGCTCAGTGAAATAAGTCAGAAAGAAAAAGAAAAATACCGGATGAGCTCACTCATAGCAGGAATTTAGAAAACCTAAATAATAAGAGAGACCAGGAAAAAGACTAATCAATGCAAAGTAAAAATCAAAATCAAAAAGCAACTATAAACCAGAGACACACTAAGGAGGGCAGAGGGGCAGGGAAAGGAAGGATGAGTCAAAATAAGGTGGGGGGGAGTGCAATTGTATGGGGATTATAACCAAAATGAAAATGCATACATTGTGCAAAGATGAAAAAAGATGTAAGAATTATATAAAAATATTTTAATAAAAAAAATCTACTTTATGTCCACAGAATTGTTGGGTTTAAGAATATTCCTTGAAAGAATCAATCATTTATCAATCTTCAAAGTAAAAAGAAAGATAGCTTATATCCATTTATCACTTTATATATTGCTCCCCTGACATCAAAAACCTTCCAAAATTCTCTACTACTCACATTTACACTATTGTAGAGAAAAGAAATCTGAACTAGAAATGAAAATCAGTATATAAATAGTCATAGAAGAGGAGACTTAGTAGTAATATTCAAACAACTGGTAGTCAGTTTGAAAAACTATAAAACTAAGATCACTAAACTCACTTATTCAAAATAAATATGAGATGAATCAAATGTTTGAGTAAACCATGAAAGTTAAAAAATTCATTGCTTTCCTTTCTCATAATCTTGGATGATTTCTAAGCATGACAAGAAACCTAAAAGCAATAAAATATTTGCTTACATAAAAAAGTTCCCCACCTCACAATTTACAAGAACATATTTGGGCTACATACAACTGTTTTTCACCCAACAAATTCACAAAAGCTTAAAAAGATTAGTAAG